CCGCCGCTGAATTGCGCAGAGGCGGAGGCTCAGGTGCGCTCAAGATTCAGCCTCACCCACCATGGCCGAGGAAGGCATTGCTGCTGGAGGTGTAATGGACGTCCATTCTGCACTACAAAAGGTGCTGAAGACCTCCCTCATCCATGATGGCCTAGCACGTGGCATCCGAGAAGCTGCCAAAGCCTTAGACAAGCGCCAAGCCCATCTCTGTGTGCTCGCATCCCATTGTGATGAGCCTATGGATGTCAAGTTGGTGGAGGCCCTTTGTGCTGAGCACCAAATCAACCTGATTAAGGTTGATGACAACAAGAAGCTAGGGAAATGGGTAGACCTCTGTAAAATCGATTGAGAGGGGAAACCACGGCGGTTGGTTGCAGCTGTGTAGTGGTTAAGGCCTATGGCAAAGAATCTCAGGCCAAGGATGTCATCGAGGAGTACTTCAGCACAAGAAATGAATAAATAAAAATTTTGCTTAAAAAAAAGACGAAAATCCATACCACACACATATACACACGAAAAAAGTTACATTAATAGCTACTTCACAGACGTGTATATGTGCGCTTCCCACTTAAACGCAGCTGAAACTGACCACCACAATGGACGTTTTGTCCTCCTCCTGTCATTAGCCCTCCCAGGTCAGGGAAGGGACGGATGAGGGACTACAGAGAACAGTGAGGACCACTGGGAACAGCAGCAAGGAGCAGAAGAAGCCTTTATCACAGAAAACGTTCATTTACCACCCCCAAATTCCACGATCACAGTAACTGATATTTCTGAAATCCATTCCATTCTAGCTCCTCCTAGAGCCTGGAGTATACTTCCTAAATCAATACAGAAAGAAAAGGAAAGGAAAAAAAGAAAAGAAACCAGACTTAAGGGCCTTTCAGCAAGAGCAAAGGGTAAAACCAAGTCTTGAGGAAAATAAGGTACTTTGTTATTAATGGCAGGCATCTCACCTCTTTTTCTTTGAGACCAGGTCTCACTGTAGGCATGACTGACCTGGAACTAGATACAGAGAACTCACAGAGATTCACCTCAATGCTGGGTTTAAAGGTTACCATGTTACCATGCCCCCAGCCTTGGCACTTTGATTATAACGAAGGATCCCTAAGAATAGGATAACATCAGCATATATCTTTAAGCCCAAGCCTTTCACATTCTTTTCTGTTTTAACAGTTCTAAATATTCAGGCTGGAAATGTAAAGTGACTTATGTAATCAATTCCAAAACTAAAAATTCCCACAGATTTTTTTTTATTAAAATTACCAAAACTTCCATAACTTCAAATATGCTGTCTTAGTTCTTTTCTACTGCTGTGAAGAAACACCAAACTTAGAGAAGAGAGTTCTTAATTATGGGTTAGTCTAGACCACCATGGCAGGGAGTATGGCTCAGGCACAGTGCTGGCGCAGTAACTGACAGCCCCATCCTGATCCACAGGTAGAAGGCAGAAACAGGGAGACTGGGTCTGGCACAGGCCTTTGAAACCTCAATGCCCACCCCTAGTGACACACCTCCTCCAAGGCCACGCCTCCTCATCCTTCCTAAACAATCCACCAACTGGGAACCAAACATCCAAATATATGATCCTGTGGGGTCGTTCTCAGTCAACCCACCACATATGCAGTAACATGGAACTGAAATAGAAACTTTGTGTGTGTGTGTGTGTGTGTGTGTGTGTGTGTGTGTGTGTGTGTGTGTGTGTGTGTGTTAGGTAAGGAAACAAGTCTTGTGTAGTCCAGACTGGCTTCAAAATCTAGCCAATGATGACCCTTGCCCTCCTGCCTCTACTTTCTTGAGTGCTGGGATTACAGAGCAAATCAGCACGTACTATGTGTAGTGCCACAGACTGAAGCTGGGCCTCACGAATGCTAGGTAAGCACTCTATAAACTAAGCTACAACACTGGCCCAAGAAAGCTTTCATGACACTAAAAAAAGTAAACAGTGAAGACTGAAAAGATGGCCCCGTGGCCAAGAACACTGGCTGTTCTACCAGAGGACTCTTCACAGCGATCTGTAACTCGAATCCAATCCCAGGGATCAAATGCCCTCTCCCGGCTCCCACAGACACAAGCACAGCCGTGGAGCACAGACATCACGCAGGCAAAACACCCACACACATACAACTTTTCCTTTTGGTTTTCCCAGGCAGTTTCTCCGTGTATTCCTTTCTATCCTTGAACTTACTCTGAAAACCAGAATGGCCTGGAACTCGGAGATCCCCCTGCCTCCCAAGTACTGGGATTAAAGGTGTGTGACACCACCTCCCTCTATAATTTTCTTAAAGTATACAATAATATATAAATGGCTTTGAATTGAAAATTACCTATAACTTTCTTTTCTCAATAAAAAATAGTGAATGTCCAAGTTCAAGTGTTATGTGTAAAATAAAAATATATTTCTTTCCACTCAAGATTTATACAGTGGAATACTATTCCACAATGACAATGCAATGAACTATAATAAGAGGAGAGAGGGAAAAAAAATAGAATACTAAAACATTGATAGTGTCCTAGTGAGGGTTACTATTGCTATGAAACACCATGACCAAATACTAGTTGGGGAGGAAAGGGTTTATCCAGCTTACACTTCCACATCATAGTCCATCACTGAAGGAAATCAGGACAGGAACTCAAACAGGACAGGAGCCAGGAGGCAGGAGCTGATGCAGAGGCCATAGAGTGCTGCTTACTGGCTTGCTCCTCATGGCTTGCTCAGCCTGCTTTCTTACAGAACCTCGGACCACCAGCCCAGGGATGGCACCACCCCCCATGGGCTGGGCCCTCCGACCTTAATCACTAATTAAGAAAATGCCCTACAGGCTTGCCTGCAGCCCAATCCAATGGAGGCATTTTCTCAGTTGTGGTCCCCATCTCTCAAATGACTCTAGCCTGTGTCAGGTTAACATAAAATGAGCCAGCACTGACAGGTTATTTTTTTTTTTAAGCAATAATTAGTAATTAGAAAAATAATTACATGAAATTCTAAAACAGGTTAATGTTGTTTGTTTGAGCAGGGTCTTGACATATAGCTCAGGCTGGCCTCTAAGTTGTGATGTTTCCAACTCAATCTACCAACTACTTGGTTATGTAGGATTTTAAACAATTAACAGTGGTTGGGTGAGACATGAGGAGATTGATTAGCAAAGAGTAAGTGGGAACTGTGGTAATGTGGTAACATTCTGAATCTTTTTGGTTTTTCCCAAGGCTGGAGATTAAACCCAGGACTTCCTGCATGTTTGCAATATTGATTGTAGACTCTTCGTGGTAGGTAGGCCTATGAATATTTGCTACAAAATTCTTACAATCTTTTTATATGACTGAATAGTTGGTTAATAAAATGTTTGGAGTTAGAAGTTTTTAACAAGTAGACTCAAACACAAAAGACCAACAAAACATAGCCCTTATGGTTCATCCACTTTATTCATTTGGAGCTAGAGATGTTTGATACCCAGCTCATTTGGTAGAGTGCTTGGCTAGCATGCAAGAAGACCTGGGCTTGATCCTATGTATTGCCTAAATGAAGCATGGTGGCATTCGGAAGGTACAGGAAAAATTTTAAGGTCATCTATAGGTAAACAGGGAGTTCAAAGCCAACCTATGTTACATTAAACTGTCTCAAAAGCAAAAATAAATATTAAAATAAGTAAATTGAGCTGATGAGTGATATTTTATTTGCATTTACTCATTTATTTATTTTTCATTATTTACAAAGCAATTGAAAAAAAATAATATAATTTCAAATTATACCTACTAGCTTAATCAATTCAAAAGACTATAAAAATACATTAATCATCCTGGTGGGGGGGGGGTCACAGGTACTTAATATGTTATTTAAAAGAACTAAATGAAAGCACATGTTTAGACCCAAAAAATATACATAGTATCTCAAAAATGTATACAAAGATTCAGCACAATTCTGTTCATGTTAATTAGACTGCCTAATTTAAAAACTTACTCCTGTATTTATAAACTATGTACTATACTTCATTTACTTCTTAAGTATTTACAACCAAATATTTTACTTTGAGAATTTGTGGACCTTAAGATTCTTTAAAAGTATAATATTTAGATACAGTATAATCGGTATCTATTACAGTCTTCTAGATAATTTTACTTCAAATTTGCTTCATCAAAAACTTTTACCTCTACTATACTAAACTCTGACTTATGGCACCAAAACGAGTATACAAATCAGTATAACTTACTTCCTGATTCTTAAAAAGCATGTATTAACAAGCATTCACTTAACCACCAACAGCAGCAGTATAATACAGTCAACATAATTCACTGTACTCTAAGAAAGTTAAATGTCTATTTAAATGACATCACACTAAAAGGAGGCACACAGCTGTAATTCATATTTTAAACATTTATGTGAGTAGATAAACCAAAATAGAGTAACTCAAAAATAAAATTATATAAGTTGTCGCCTCATTATCAAAAGGGGATTTATTTTGATTATTTCATGAGATTAAAAATAAAAAAGCACTCGGGCAGTGGTAGAGCACACCTTTGATCCCAGCACTTTCGAGGCAGAGGCAGGTGGATCTCTGTGAGTTCGAGGCCAGCCTGGTGGTCTACAGAGCAAGTTCTAAGACAGACAGGGCTACACAGAGAAACCCTGTCTTAGAAAAAAAAGAAAAGAAAAAAAAAAGGAGGAAAAAAAAGCTTACCTTTTCTTAGGATACCATTATATGTCATATCTACTTTAGAATATTTTATAATAATATATCCATTTAAGTTCAAATAGATAAGTTAGGAAAGGAGCAAAAACTACCCACTATCAAAATTATTAAGAGATCAAATGAAAGCCAGGTATGGTGGTCGGAACCTTCAATCCCAGCACTCAGAGGCAGGGGCAGGCAGATCTCTGAGTTCAAGGCCAGCCTAGTCTACATGGTGAGTCCCAAGACACCCAAGGCTACACAGAAAAACCCTGCTCGAAAAACAAAAATAAAAAAAGAGGAAGATCAAATGAGATAATCATTTACCACATTTGGAGTATCTCTACAGAATCACACCTAAAACAAGAACAAAATAACCGGCCTCAGTGTTGCCAGGATTTCCCACATTGTATAAGGTCCCTAGGCCCAGCTTCCTCCTCAGTACTCGCTGAGTGAAACCCATCCTCAGCAAAATCTGCTCAGAGGTCACAGGTAGTCCTCAAGTTCAAAGTCTCACTATCACAAAGAAAGAGATGGCGAGTTTAGCTCAGCATCCCCGTGCCATACTCTACAACAGCCTTGAGAAGGGCTCTGTGGTCAAATGACTGGTTTTTTGCTTTACTTGGGTATTTTCATAAACCATGCTTTTCATATTTTCATAAAAAGTTACATAAAGGAAGGAATTAGAGAATGGGGCAGAATTACATGTTTTATAACTTTTACAATTAAAACAATATTGACTCATAAAAAACTGCAGTAAGTTTACTCTGATGAATGGAATTCTGGATTTCAAATACAAAAAGAAAATGGGTTTATTAATCTTCATAGCCCTTAACTGCTAACAAATTATGTCACTTGACACTAGGAAACAGCAAATTTGAACAGTGCCAGAGAAAGCTGTGATTACAATACTATTTTATGTACAGCAAAGGAATTTTCAAAGACATCCATATTTTTTTAATTTCCACACTGAATAGAGAACCAAACCATCAAAAGAGATGTACTTTCTTTAAACACTGACTTACTTTCTAGAAACATTTCACAGAGTTAGTTTTCTACAGACACTTGTAAGTGGGTTTTCTATACAAAGTCAATACTCAGACTCAATGTTTATCGCCAAGTCTGAGTGGTAGCATGCTGAAATAATGAGAATTATACTTCATAACTTACTTTCAATAATTTCAAAAGGGTTTCTACTATAGATACAGCTACTAAAATTATATAAAATATATTACCTCACATTAGAAGATTCATTACATTTCAAATGAAAGTCATAGCACAGATTAAAAAGGCAAACTGCCATAAGAATATATCATGACCTTGAACACTGAGAAATTGAACAAATTAACCTAGTACCCTAAGAGTTCACTTTATTTATTCCTATAACCACTACATTTGATAGCATTCTTCCTAACTCACATCTTTAATCATGTCCTCTCTATAATCAAAAAGCCTTCAACAGCTTCTCACTTTATATTCAGTTAGATCCGACTCCCTAAAAACAGCATTTCATGTAATCCTGATTTGCTAACAACTGACATTTCACCCACATTCCTCTTCAATGAGAACTGCTGAGACTCTGTCATGCTTCAAGCACCACATTCAACTCTGAACCTTTAGCTGTATAGGAATCCCCGAGGACACTAGTCACAGACTGCTGAACCCCACCCCAGTTTCTGATTCACTGGATGGATCTACACTTCTAAGGAGCTAACATAACGCTGACATCCAATTCAGGACTGACACTGTTGTCATAACTCGACTGTGTTTGCGGTGCTGTGGACAGAACCCGAAGCCTTGACTACACCAGGAGAGCCCTGAATCACCGAGCCACAGCCACATCCTCACCTGGGTTTTTTACTCTACACACCACCAACTGGAAGCCTGAAAGTCTGGGAGAAGGCATAACCAAACTGTTTTAAAAGTATTCTGAATGACTTGCAAACATTTAAAAACTGGAAATTTTCACACAAAATACAGATTGCTGATGTATTCCTGCATGTAAAGTTTCAACATGAACTAAACAGAAGCTCCCCAATGTAGTCAAGCAAGGCACACCTTTAATCCAGCACCCTGGAAGTGGATGATCTCTGTGAGACTGAGGCCAGTCTGGTCTACATAATATGTCCCAGGTCATTCAAGTTACCAAAAGCCCAAACTCTCCTGAGCCTCACTTCAAACTGCCTGACTCATTGAGCTTGGACACCTTGAGCCACTCCATCCACTCTGCATGTGTCTCTGCAAGAGCTCACTCTGACATCAAGCACCTATCCCCAGGATTTATGAAATTCTACCTGCTCCATCCGAAAACCTGGCTTTTTAAAGTCCTTCCTCATCAAAATCTCGGCAAAAAATGGAAATCAAGTATGTAAGACACATATTAAATATTTAACATAAATTCAATATGTAAGATTTATAAAAATCAAGATTTTATTTCCATGAGTACTACAATATTTAAAAATCACACTTATAAAAATCTACAAGTTAAATTATATGTAAATAAGATTTTTGTTATTTTCATTCTAAGTAGTTTTCATTTTGTTTAATTCTAACTTTACTGTGAAGGAAACATTTTCAAGAAAAACATTTAAAATGAATTAAGATAATTTTAATCACATGGTGAAATATGCACTATTTTCAATAAAAAGACCTGATCCCTTTTAGCAGGACAAAAAAAGGAGGGAGGGTGGGGTAGTGCCACAACACCCTAGGCTTCAGAACCCAACCATGTATACAAGTAAGTTTTTTTTTGTCACGTGGAGAAGGGACCTCAAACTCACCAGAAAGTGCTCTCCCCTTGAGCTACATCTCCAACCCGAAAGGTGATTCTAATTAAATAAGTTCTCCTAATTAGTTAAATAATTCTCTGGGATTTTTACTTCTATAGAATAAATAAGGAATAAAAATTACCACCACCATTACCTCCTGCTCCCTCCAGAAAACTAAGTACTGATGCTTACTCTGCTATAAAAAGCTTCGCTACCTGGAATAAATGATGGCGTCCTCCTTGACTGCAGTTTTATTACCTCTAAATTGAAGTGTTTTCCAAATATCTTCTGTCTCTAAAGTCTAACCCACTCTTTCCAAAGATAAAAACAAAACCAATGTCATCAATACATGTTTGCTGTTACTGTTAGTATAGCACACACCCATTATCCCAGTGTTCAGACAGCTGAGGCAAGAGGGACTTGTATTCCAGGCTAGCCTGGGCTACAGGGTGAGATCTTGTCTCCAAACAAGAAAATATAGGACTATGGATTGTAGCTCAGCGACAAATGTATATGCTTACCATTTATTAGGTACTTATCCAACACTAACTTTCTCTCTTTCTCTCTTTCTCTCTCTCTCTCTCTCTCTCTCTCTCTCTCTCTCTCTCTCTCTCTCTCTCTCTCTCTCTCTCCCTCTCTCTCTCTCTTAAATCTAACTTTCAAAGTTGTAACTAAAACTGTTGAAGATTCAGTACTTTGAAATACTATTTATACAATTTTATGCATTTTGTTTTGTTTGACACAGGATTTCACATAGCACGGGCTGACCTTGAAATTGGGATGGCCTTGATCTTCTGAACTGCCTTTCCCTCTCAAGTGCTGTGATTACAGGCTTATGCACCATATGCAACTCTATTTGTATTATTTCTTTTATAATCAAAATAAAAGATCTTACATAAGGCCAACAGTTAAATGTCTTAGAAAAAAACTGAGGGAAGACAAGCTGGATTACCATGTCAACCAATCAGTAAATTTTAGTATCTAAAGAGAAAATTAAATACTTAGAAAATTTTGTTAAAAAAAAAAAAATAGGCTTAGAAAGGAAAAGAAAATCATGTTAAAAGCTTTTTTATAAGAGAGATTAGCAATATTTTTTATAGGGCATGTGCTCAGCTTCACGATACTCCCAAATTAATTCTGACAAAATTAAAAATATCAAACTGCAAGACTGAAAAACTCTTAGAGACTACTATACTCGGGCAGATCATGCCGTAAGCGAGTCGCTTTCAGCTTCTCCACTTCAATCTTTGCTCTTAGCAGCTCCTCCTCTAGCCGCTGCCTTCTTCTCAGTCCATCCCTCTTCTCCTGAACATATAATCCAAAATTCTTTTGATTTTCTAAAATGATCTGATGTTCCTCTTTTAACATTTGCAGGACCTGAGGGTCACATCTTAGCAGAGACCTAATGTGTTCTCCACTTTCATGATGGATAAAATCATCTCTCCTTGGGATAGAAGATGGAGATGATGTCATTCTCATATCAACAGAAGAGAGTGATGGAGACAAGGGTTCTTCCATGGCATGCATTAATTCATGCTCTTCTCTTTGCTCTACAGTATCATTGTGTGGAGGATTTGGAACCAGTGGAGGGGATGCTTTAATGTCCTCTTCTTGCTTCACCTCTACTGTAATAGCGACAGGCTGGTGATCCACCATTACCTGCAGCGAGCTGGTACCAGCCTGGGCAGACTCATCCAAGTTCGCACTATAGCACATATAAAAAAAACACATTATAAACAAAAACTTATTTACAGAACAATTTCAGCGTTATATGCTTAATATTTCATAATGATATACACTTAACTATAAATCGTTGAATAGAGGATGATGGCATACACCTATATCCCCAGCACTTGGAAGGCTGAGACAGGGTAATCTCAAGTTCCAGGACAGCCTGGGCTACTTATAACACTCTATGTCAAAAAATAAAAGAGCTGGTCATGGTGGCACACACCTTTAATGCCAGCATTGGGAGGCAAAGGCAAGAGGATCTCTGAGAGCAGTCTGATCTACAGAGTGAGTTCTAGGACAGCCAGGGCTACACAGAGAAACCCTGTCTCAAAAGACCAAAAACAAATAAACAAACAAAACCATCAACAACATGGGACCATGGGATTTTCTTTTTTGGGGGAGACTTTCCCAAGTCCCCGCTTTGCAGAGTCTTTTTCTTGGTGTGTCTGCTGCATATGTGTGTTTCCTCACCCCCAATAAGCCTTTCTTCAACTGCTGGTTGGTTCTACTGTTGCTGCCTACTACCTGTTACAGCTCAAGAATTTTCATGTCTTTTAATTCTTTGTTTGTTTGTTTTGGTTTTTTTTTGGTTTTTTGTTTTGTTTTGTTTTGTTTTTTTTTTTTTTTGGATTTTCGAGACAGGGTTTCTCTGCGTAGCTTTGCGCCTTTCCTGGAGCTCACTTGGTAGCCCAGGCTGGCCTCGAACTCACAGA